GAGAGAGAGAGAGAGAGGTGGGATGTTATTAGTAAAAAAAATGTCGAGAACTCAGTACAATAAAGAGCTAATGAACGCAGTTGCCACACTTAATAATGATTGTGTTGACGGTAACGTAGTACTTACAGCACTGCATCACACAGCTGAAGGTTGCATCCTCCGAATTCCCAAACACACAAGGACTCTTGATCATGAAATAAAGCCGAGTCGTGGCAGCTTCTCTTCGGCCAAAGACAGAAAACGCCAGTTTTCAAATACAACTGTGTGTGAAAAATGTGTCAATTAATTGTTACGTTGATGTTATCGTTGTTGTTACTGTTATTTTCTCCTCTAGCATCTACTAGTTTGAGATGGATGGAACATGTAGGCCTACGGTGGACCTCGCCTGCCTATTATTATACTGAACACAAATTTGCTTTACCTGGCAGCGCGAAACAGTAACGGCAACCAGTCTAATGTAGGCTCAGTATACGACTTAGTAATTCTAAAAGCGCAAGGCTGAGATTAAGGAAATAAATCCTCTGCACTGAAATGCGAAGTTTTCGAGCCTCAATACCCAAGTCGCGACCTACACTGGCCACGGTCTCGAGTTCAACAGAGGGATTTGGGAAGGATTTTTTCCTATTCTTCAACGACTTAGTGGCTTTGCTTGTAAGTTGTAACGGTTGATTAGTTCTGTTTATGTAGCCGCACAACGCAGACAAGAGTTGACGATACATTGTTCGCCAGTTACTACATGACAGGATCATGAGTTAATTTTAGTTAGCTCTAGGCCTTATTTTATTTTCTTGGGCCCATCTTCGTCCCGTTGATCGGCAAGACAAGATAAGTGAACTTGATCATGCTTGATATCAATTCAATGGATCTTTCTTTCGAAAGGATGACAAGTTACATTAATAGGAAAGGGAAGCACCCAATATTCACAGGGCTAAAAATCATGCACCTTTCACAGTACTACTGTTCCCTTTTTTCTCGTTTTGCATACTCTGTTTTGTAAAAGTATCATACTTATACATGCAAAATCACGTGAACCTCATCATTAAAAAAGGTAAATCAGAGGCAGTTCTTTCTGGGGAAACTAAGGTTCTTCAATCTGAATCCATCCATCCTTCAAACCTTCTGCACATCCACAATAAAATAAAAAAGGATAAATTTTGGTATTCCTTGCTGTGGAAGCAATTTGGGAAGACAGCACATCATAAAAATAAATAAGTTGATCAGAAAGGCATCAAGAACAACGTGTAACTTTTAATCTCTGCACAGGGCAAACACTCAAACAAAAAAGGGGGCGTAAATAAAGCCTAGTGGCCATAGCCACCCACTGACATCGGACATTCAATTATCGACTCGCAGTAAACGATTCATTTCCAAGAAAGCAAGAACAGACGGATATTATTCATTCGTACCAACAACTCCCGAGAGGTTATTGAACTCACGGGTCTACAAATGAAACAGAGAGAGAGAGAGAGAGAGAGAGAGAGAGAGAGAGAGAGAGAGAGAGAGAGAGAGAGAGAGAGAGAGAGAGAGTGTGTTTACAGAGCGGGGGTGTTTCAGCACGTAAAACGTGTGTTTAATTTTATTACCGTCCTGTCTTGTTTTGTGAATGCGTGAGTGTACCTAACCTTTGTAACACCCACTGCCATTGTAAACGACGAAGACAAATTTCACCCTGAGGGACTGTCATTGTCATTGTCATCGTCATTGTTATCGTCATTGTCATCGTCATTATCATCATATCCGAAGCCCTTTCTCTTCGAAGTCAGTGTTTCCTGCTCCGTGCAGTGAATGAAGACGGCCGGCGTTTTGCGAGAAAGTGTAATTACATTGTAGTTGCTTCGTAATCGCATGCAGAAGATCCGAGTTTGATTCTTTTGTGGGGAGAATTTTCATCGAGCAATTCGGCCTTCCTGCTGGAACATTATTATCCTCTCAGCCCTGGTTTGTCTTGACAGGCAGGAACGAAGCCCACGGGCTAATTGACCTGACGTGTATCAATGGAGGCGTAAGACACCCACATTAAAAATAATAAATAAATACAAACCAAATTTTTTTTAAGTCAAAGAAAACAAAACAGTTTTATTTGACATTCTAATCCAAGAAAGGTTTTTTTTTTAGTCTGAGCGATTGGATTTATAAATCAGATTCGATAAAAATGATAATATTTCTTTTGCAGTTACATGTGTTTGGATAGAAAAGGTCTATCGATAATATCTGGGGGGGGGGGGGGGGGGGGGGGGGGGGGGCCGTGATCTACCTTCTTTTGAAATTTTGGAGAGGTAAATAAATAAAAGTATTTCCGAAATGGCGCCCCTGTTTAGAGGAGGGTAAACATGTGGCACGAGGCCTACAACAAAAGACAGCCCCACAGACAAGCAAGAAACCCGCCAAATCTGATTAACTATATTATGATACGCTTCACATTATCATGAGTGCCGTAGGCTATCACAGACATTATTAAATGATATTTTTTTAAAAGAACATAAATTAGAAATCAAAGTATAGTTCAACGATATTTAAGTAATAAAGAAAACAGATTTCCATCACTGATATTCCATGTGAATTGAAAATTCGAAAATTTCTGAAAAGTTTTTGTCGAAAGTAAAGCAGCTGGCCCAAAGTTCACGAACAGTGTTTACATGGCTAAACAATCTGTGACTCAGTGACCAGCGACTCGTTTTAGGTCACTGTGGTGGTAAACTGGTAAACCAATACGCAGTTCGCAGAGTAGTGCCTTGGCACTCAGCGTTGGCTGGAGTAGCAAGCCCAAAAGAGCACATGACAGCAGTCACATGATATCAACAGCAGTCACATGATCAATGCGATGGGAGTTGTTTGGGAAATTGGTCACAGATCACTTGAGATCACAGAGTTATAGAGCTGTTGTGGAAAACAAGGATAACTTGGCCTGGTCATAAAGACCTAGGGCCTGTGATATTATATAACACAACGGAGTGTGATGGGAGTCGTCAGTGTGGCTGTTGGAGTTATTCAAAACTTGTGTCTTTCGGATTTAACTATGTTTCTATAGTCTAGAACAACGTGATCTCAACCTTTTCATTCTGACTGGAAAGTGAAAGAAGGAACCTCCAGTTCAAATAAAGTTCCACTGTTCAATATCTGTTCGTACATTATTTAGGCTATTGTATTATTTTACACCACAAGCCTAATTACTAATAGTAGGCCTAGAAGTATCTAGTGGTAGACTAACTCTCTAGTAGTAGATCTAGTAGTAGTAGATCTAGATCTAGACTTTACTAAGTGTAGTTAAAACAGCCAATCTTCTTCGGACAGGTGGACTTACGCCCTTATTTGTTAATTTTTGTGGTTGTTTATGGGCTGTTCTAATTTTGATTTCATTCGGTTGTGAAACTTTTCTTTTTCACGTTTTTACACTCATCTAAAAATCTCTAGACTAGCTCTTGAAAATTGAAATAGATTATAAATATAGATCTAGATTCTAGATCAAGATCTAGACCTAAAAATTTGCTCCTGTGTGTGTGTGTATGTGTGTATGCATGTGTCATGTGTGAGTGTGTCTGTGTGTGGTAGTAAGTGTGTAAGTGGAGAGTGAGGAGCGTGTGTGTGTTTGTTTTTCAGGCTTTATTTCAGCCTTTATTCAGTAACAGTTCAAAGTATACAAAAATAGAAACACTGCCTTAGCCGCATTCCTTTCGTTTGTGAGCTGTGGACCAGACCAGGGGGGTGGGTGTCGTCCCCTTGTAGTTGCTGTCGCCTGTGGGTACACTCGTACATTCTTCCTTTCACCTGCTCTGTCACTCACACAGTCTCTCCATCCACATCTCAGCTCGTCATATGTTCAAAAGTTGCCCACTGATCATGTTTAGTTAGTGTGTGTATAAGTTTGTGTGTGTACATGTGCATGATGGTGGTGGGTGTGTGGTGGGTGTTACATATGGTTGTCTGTAGGCGGGCTTGCCATGCGATGTTCCTTCCCAGTTCCCAGACCAGAGGCAGAATGAAAGTTGGCGCCGAACTCTCGCAATAAATAGGCAAAAAATCACGAGACCGGAAGCCGGAAACCGTTCGGAGAAATAAAGATCGGCACTATTTCTCTGAACGTTCGGAGAAATAGTCACTTCGTTTAAAATAAATACGGCTGGCCCAGCAGTCTAGCCGTAAATACGGCTATCCTTATAATTATTAAAATGTAAATTACATATCGTCTAAACTGTTCCATAGTTGAACAATAGTTTGAATAGGTAAAAACAATGTCTGGTTATGAGTTAGTAAGGCTTTTTTTGTGTGCTTTATACGGCGCTCGCAACTGCATATGAGTGTGCAGTTTACAAGTAAAATATTTTGAATTTTGCTTGGTGGGTGCTGAAGCCTACTCTTATCGATTTAAGACCACCAATGGGTCTTTAACGTGCGCTACTTGCACATGAGACCTTCAAGATTTTTCTCTTTCTCCGAAAAGGCTGAAAGACATTAGTAAGAAGGAGCCTGGGAGTAGCAGTAGGAAAGCTGCAGAAAGAGTCAGGAGCCCAGAGGAGGGGGTGGAGGCAGAAAGTACTGTCAATTCCATGACTCTAACCTTTACGCCTTTCTGCCATGTGGGGAAGGGGTGTGGTTAGTAAGGCTTTTCATGTGTGTGTTTTATGGCACTCGCAACTGCATATGAGTGTGCGGGACACATTAAAAATTTGCAGTTTACAAGTAAAATATTTTGAATTTTGCTCGGTGGATGCTGAAGCCTACATTGATTTAAGACCACCAATGGGTCTTTAACGTGCGCTACTTGCACATGGGACCTTCAAGATTTTTCTCCTTCTCCGAGAAGGCTGAAAGACATTAGTAAGAAGGAGCCTGGGAGTAGCAGTAGGAAAGCTGCAGAAAGAGTCAGGAGCCCAGAGGAGGGGGCAAAGGAGGTAAGGGGGTGGGGGCAGAAAGTGGAGACGAAAGCAGACGACAGAACATTGCAAGAGAGCAGGAAAGAAGGTGATAGGAGACACTTTTAGAGAAGAAATGTTTTCCGTCACTACCCGGATTTGAATCCGGGACCTTTGAATGAGAGGTAAACACCTTAACCTCAAGGCCACAAGAACCCCCCTTAAGGCTTTATTTGAAAGTAAGGGTCTAACTTTAAGCAAATAAAAGTACATCTAGCTTATTTATTTTTAACCTCTCATCGATATAATATAATAATACTTAAAAACTTTGCCTATCTGACTTGAGAGATTCAATATTGTCAAAATACACATTTAACAGTTTTTGAATCTATTCTTATTCCAAACACCCCCCAACCTGCCCCCCAAAATTGTGATTTGCGATTGCAAGTGTGTGAAAAAATGATCATCTACAACCATGTGAGTTTGGGGAGTGATGAGATGATGTGACGTCTTGAATGCACCGGTGTGATGAAATGACTGTGTGACGAGGTGACTGTACCAGAAGAGAAGAAAGTGGTTGTCTTGGACAGTTTCATGATAAATGTAATGTTAAAAAAAATGCAAGCGGGAGTTCTTTATAACTTGATAAATTCCACTCTATATAATGCATCATGGACAGAGAAATTCTTATCCTTCCGAGGATTTTGGCCTGAGAGGGAAAATGCTTTTCCAGCTCAGCTTTTACTTGAAACAAAGCTCCCAAAATTTGATTCCATGACTCTTACCTACGCCTTTCTGCCAGGTGGGGAAGGGGTGTGGTTTGGCGATAGCTGTTTAAGTTAACCCACCCTTGGGAGCCGTGAGTGGTGCAGATGATCAGGGTGGTGTAGGTGTGACATCTCTTCGCTGCTTGTCTTAAAAGTGGTCAAGTGGCATGATATATGTTGGCTCGGAAGCTTTCTTTGGTAGTCATTATAAGTGAAATTTGACCAGTGTCTGCCACCCTGATCATACAGCTTTCCTCATTGTGCAATACTGTATCATACTTTGTTCCCATATATGGCTCTTTCTCCCTGGCAAAGCTGCAATTTTAAATATAAGAAAGGAAAGCATGAGGTAGCCTATTTGCTTTGCTTCCATCACTTCCAAGTAAAATTAATTGCTTTATGTCTGATGTGTTTCTGGCACTAGCACAGGAAGGGTCATGTTATTATTTGAAGGAGTTGTCAAGTTAGACTTCTCTTACTAGTGATAAATATGGGAAAAGTTCAATTCCGCGCCGCAAGCGTTCTTGAAAGTGGATCACACTTTTAGCTCAAGGCCACAGTTTTGATAAAGGTGGTGCAATTTCCTGAGGATCGTAGCACTAGTCATAGACAAATTGTTTAGAGATAACTTTCCATATAGGTCTGCATCCTTTGAAAAGACAAAGGAGTACAGTAATTTTACGCTTATTCATCAGTCAAAAGCACAGCTTTTGTTCAGCTAAAAATAAACTGCTGTTGCAAGAGAGTAGAAAATGCTTACAAATCATTTTAATATAATCCAAAGACTCCAGGTGTCCAACATTCAAAACAAGATTTACATGTTTGGATGTCTGTCACTGTATAATGAATGATTGTGTGTAAATTTGTTTGTTTATAGTATAATAGATTGTCTTTTGTCGATACAATTTTTAACACCCCCATTAAATTTAACATATGAAAGTACAGTGTTTTTTAGATTCGCTGTACCGTGTAAAAACCTGCACCTGCTTGCCAATTGTTCTTGTGTAGAAAATTTTAGCCCACAGCACTGTCAAAAGAACGTGTGAGAGGTGAGCTTCTTTGTAGGGAGTAAGTGGTAGCCAGCTGTGCTTTGAGAAGCTTTAAAAGGTGCAGAGACTTAATGGAGATGTGGTATGGCAGTGTATTATAATTTACTTCGACTAGCGTGTATCAATGTCATAAATATATATTCAGGGGGCTCTGGTGGTCTTGAGATTACATTTTAAGTTATTGTGTTAGCCTCTCATTCAATAGGTCCCGGGTTTGAAAGCTGACTGCGACGGATAATTTTCTCACATAAAATTTTCTCTTTTCACCTCCTTACCTGCTCTCCAACCAACCATGTTTTGTCGTCTGCTTCCGTCTCCACTGTCTGTCCCTACCTACCCCCCTTTGCCCCTTCCTCTGGGCTCCTGACTCTTTCTGCAGCATTTCTACTGCTACTCCGTGGCTTCTTCTTACTGCTGTCTTTCGTCCACGCCCCTGATCTTAGGGTAGACAAGATCTAACACCCAGCCTTTTCAGATAAGGGCCCATGTGCAAGTTGCGCATGTTAAAGATCCCTTGGTGGTCCAACATAGATAAGAGTAGGCTTCGGCCGCCACCTGGGAAAAATTCAAAATTAATTCCTTCCGAACTAAAAATGTTTAATGTGTCCTACGCGCTTATATAATCATTTAATTTGATCTTATGTAGTTGTGAGAGGTGTAAACACTTACCCCCAAAAAATAATTTTTTTTTCATTATATTATATTCAACACTTTTTCTTTCTCAGATTTTTGTCAAAACTAACATCAAAGAAAAATGGCTGGTGCTGACAACAATTTCGAAAACACTGGAGTTTCTCCTGTGTCATCGTATCAAGAAAACGATGAGCGGACTCCAATCACTCGCAATGAAAAGGCAACGGCTCAGCATACTGAGCTAGCTCTGAATAATTGTGAAAGAATGTCCTATGGTGTTGGACATGTGTTGAATGACCTCACAGCTTCCATGTGGTTCAGTTATCTACTAGTGTTTTTACACCAGGTGAGGTCTTGCTAGAGATTTGATGTTAAATTTATTACCTTGTTAAAAGTTTAATGTGTTCTCGACGTTTTAAAAAAAAGTGTAAAACTCCTTTATAACACTATCACTATGTCTATGGCCAGACTTTTCTCACTGATAAAATAATAATATATATTAAAAATAAAGATGTCTTTTTAAACTACAGACAAAATTGTCCAAGACAGCTACCCATTGTTGAGAAAATTTCGCTGGTTTTCTGAGACAGGTGGATGTCTTGCACTGTGTCATAAAAATATAAAATATAAAAAATGCAAAGGGAGAATGGGAGATGGTTGTTTGTTCAGTTCAGATGATTGTCATGGACAGGTGGTTGTTACTTGTAGAACAGGTTCAGCTGCACTATAATATCTAGAATTAAATTATCATGGTGGTGTAAAAACCAAAACTCTGGGGTCATCCAAAGCCTTATTGACCTTTGTTTTAATCTTGGCATATATTATATATACCTGCACCTTCAGTTATCTGCATTCTCTCTGAGATTTATTCTGTTGCTTTGTTTGATATATATATGTAGCATCATGGTGAAATCAGGTGTTTGTCATAGAAATGAAATTAAGTAAACAAAATTTTCTGGTCAAACATTTTTTTGGCTCATCACCTTTTGTGTCCATTTATGAACACATTTCTGTGTGGATTTCACTAAAACGTTGATGAAAGGCACCTTAAAAAAAAAATAATTTGCAGTTTCCATGGACATTTAAGTCACCAAACGTTGACAGCTATTTTCTCAATAACTTTACCTGTGACACCAGGCGACTCCCTCCTCCTTCAATTGTAAATATTTCAGCTTCAATTCAATACAGATGGGTTGTTGTTTTTTTTCCCCAAAAAGCTACACACAAATAAACGAGCTTTACAATGATACCAATAACTCCAATATGTCCTCCAAATTGATGAGCGTGATTCCACCGTGTTATGATGATGACACATGTAGGCCTATCATTGTATTGCCTTTTCAGACTATGTTAAATTCTTTGTAGTTTTCTGTTGTGATATGATTGATATCACTCTTCCACTGACTGAAATATTTAGATAAAATATACCTTGTGTAATAAGTAAATTTGGCCTTGATTAGGCTTGTCTTTATAACCGAAGCATACTAACAGATAAGTTGTAACTGCGTGTAGTTTATACTGAGAAAGTTACTTTTTACACCTTTTGTGTTGCTATTATATTCTCTGAATTGGGTGGTTGGAGGGTGTCTGTAGTACCTTCTACGATTTAAATGTCAGTAAATGTTTGTTGTTTATTCTCATTTGTCATGTTTTTTCTCTGCACTAAATATGACTGTTATCATGCGGATGTGCTTCTCTTTATCCAAACGACAAACTAAATGTTTTATGACAGTCCAAATTTTCTTTCCTTTGATCTTTTTACTTAGGTGAGAAATTTTCCCAATTTACTCGCTGGCAACTTAATGTTGATTGGCCAAGTCAGCGATGCAATCTTCACTCCATTCATTGGATTTGAATCGGACAGAACACAGGGCATCAAATATCTTGGGAAAAGGAAAACGTGGCATTTGATTGGTGAGTCTTGGAATGCTTGTCCGATGAAAGTTATTATTCACCTTTATACTTCAAAATTGTGAAGTTTGATTGGTTGTTTTTATTTTACCCTTTTTTCCCCACGTCTGATCTTCTGGCTTTTTCTGCTGATGTACATATTTTTTTTTCTCTCTTGCCACCCACCCCACTGTCACTGTTTGAACTTTGAACTTTTCAAATTTTGTTGCTTGTTGTGTCTTTGCATGTGTGGTGTTGTCTGCTTCTTGTACTTGTTTCCCTGTTTTTATTGTCCCAATTTATTAGTGGGTAAACATTGCTCTTGTGGAACTTACGTATTGAAGAATATCTCTCATTTTCTCTCTCTCTCCCCCCATCTCTCTCTCTCTCTCTCTCTCTCCCTCCCTCCCCCCTCTCTCTCTCTCTTTCTCTCTCTCTCTCACCTTCCCTCCCTGTCTCTTTCTCTCACTTTCCTGCCCTCTTTCTTCTTTCTCTCTCTCTCTCTCTCTC